AATAATATAGCCCAATTTATAACATAATTATTTCGAATAATAACATAATAAATAAAAAAAAATAAAATAAAAAAAAAAAAAAATTGCCGGCCGGCCGGCCGAACCGGACGGACCGGTTCCGACCGGCCGTCGGTTCCGGACGGCTTTCTTGCCGTCCGGCCGGCCTGTCCGGACACGGCCGGTCCGACCGGCCATGCTTTCCGGACGGTCTTTGAACCGTCCGGACGCCGGTTCCGGACGGTCTTTAAGCCGTCCGGACGCCGGTTCCGGACGGGCTTTAAGCTGTCCGGAACCGGCGGCCGGACACGTATTTTTTCATAAATTGTCTGATATGTTTAGAAAAAATGAGAAGGGCAAAATTGTCCAAGGGGGGCGGTGAGTAGTAAAATGGGGGGCGGTGAATAGTAACGCCCTATATTTTATCATATTGTGAATTTTTCCATGTTAATTTCCTTAGTTGGACACATAATGGGCCCTCACCACATTTCCCAACCTGAATTTTAGCCCATTTGAGGTACACCCCTTATTGGGCCGGGCTCACGATGAGCCCGCCTAGCTAATACTCTCCCTGGAATATGTATTGTAGCGCAAGAAAACGTTTCCCAGTTCATATTTAAGCTTTTGCAGAGTTTCAGAAAATTCATCCGATTAAATTTTCAGTCTCTGCAATTCATCTGCTTGAAGTCTACAAAAATCAGGTAACACAGTAACCCCTCAGTTGATTTCATGCGTCATAATGTTTTTGTTCAATCGTTTGGTACGATTAGGGTTTATGCTCCATTGGATCTAGCATTGGATTTCGCATCGTAATTTTGCAGTATATCTTCTTTTTTGTGGACCCAATAAGTGCCGCAAACTTTGATTGAGCTAAAACTGTATTGTGTTTGTTCTTTCTTTCAGTTGTTGAAAGTTGGAATCTTTACCTTTTCTTAAATTTTTTGAAGTCCGCCTTGTTGCTGGATTTTTTCAACACTAGATAAATTCTGAAGTGGTAAATTAGGCGTTTTTAATTCAGGCTCACAGCTATGAAAATGTAGTATAAGTTTTGGTTTTGGGAAGCTGTTGATTGTTTTCTATTTGAGCTGGAGACCCTGTGCGGGTAAGCTTTACAATTTTTTGGTAATATTGATTATATTCTCGTTTATAGGAGACGATGATGAAAATTGATTTTGGTGGGCTCGATCCCTCGGCACCTATAAAGGGTAATAGGGATGATTTGCATGATGAAATTTCAGCTCCACCATCTTTCAAGCTTCCTACTACTGTTGATGTGAGTTTAGCTGTTTTTTCTTAAAAATTATATTAGTTTGATTTTTCACCTATATTACTCAGCGAGATGATAGGTGAGATAATTTTCTTTTCTCTTCCTTTTAGTTTGATGGGTTTCAGAAAGCTGCAGTACAAATGGTGAAGCCTGCAAAGGGAACAACTACTTTGGCTTTTATTTTTAAAGGGGGTGTCATGGTGGCCGCCGATTCCCGTGCTAGCATGGGAGGATATATATGTGAGGCTTGATACATTCTTAACTCTATAATGTATTTTTGTTTGAATCTGATGCTGATGATAATGTAAGGGATTGCAAGTTCAACCATGAAAATCTAGGCACTGATATTCTGATCCATTTTACTCGTATACACACTAGAAAAACACCAAATAAGATCTACATAGTAAATTGTGTTAAAAGGTAAAAGAATTTTTGGGAGACAGATACAGAGATTTCCCAGGCTCTTTACTCTTGTCATTTTTAATTGATTTCTTTTTATTGTCTTCTGTCTACAAGATTATCGATACTGCATATAACTTCTCAAGAGTTGTATATTCATAATCTGTAGTTTCTTGGACTTTTGATATAAGCTCTAAAGGCTACTAAAAACTATCATGCTTTTTTGTGCTTCTATTTATTTGGGATGTTATTCTTTGTATGGGGATCCTTGTGGTAATTTAGTCAAATACAATTGATAAAGTTTCCGTTACTGATTAAAATTCGTGTTGACAAGCTTATAAACTGTCAGTAAAAAGAGGTGGATTTTGAAGTGTAAAAGTAAGATTTTCTATTTAGATCCTGGGTTTTGATGAATGAATCTATTATATAATCTTTGCTTGTTAGTAACACCATGCTTTCAATTTATTCAGTGTATTGTATTATGGACTGTGTTTTCATATTGCGGCAAATCTAGCTATCTCAAATTCTTCTTGTAGCAGTATGCCATATGACTGCAGGAAATGATGATTTATTATTTCTTCTTTTGGTTTCTTTTGGGATACGGCAAACGTAGGTTAAGTCAAATTGAAAGGACCATAACTGGATCATGTTAATGCCGTTTCATTATTTTCTTATGTGTGTCCCGAATAGGGAAAAAACCAATTCTTATTGCTTTAAAGATAGGTCGGTGGTGATGCTATGATGTTTTATTGTTCTGAAATACTGCATCCCATAGTTGCATTTCTTTTTATTTATGGTAATTAGCCTCTTTCTATGATAGCATCACAATCTGTCAAGAAAATCATTGAAATAAACCCATACATGCTTGGTACGATGGCTGGAGGAGCTGCCGATTGCCAGTTCTGGCACAGAAATCTGGGAATTAAGGTGATACAATTATCCTGTAAACACTTAAGTTATTGTTATATCTAAATATTTCAGGTTTTCTGGGTGAGATTTGTTTGTTAACATGTCAAGTAATTTGGACTCTGATGAATTCAGCTTTTTTTCCCCCTTCCTTTATTTGATTTGTAAAAAAAAATTCCTTTTCAACTCAAGGACTAAAACAGATAAAGGCCCGAGTCATGATAAGATTTGATATTTGTTTATAGTTATGCACGACCCTTTGAAAAACCTTTTTTTTTTTTTAATTTTTGTAAATCACCTTTAACGAAGATTACACTCAACGTGTTCAAGCGTTTTGAGTTCCTTTAATAGAATGGTTCTCCTGTTTCGAGGTTGTATAAGCTACTGAAACATTTTTATTTTTTTTTGATTGAATGGTTATCTTGCGTATGTTAGTGCCGTTTACATGAATTGGCAAACAAGAGAAGAATTTCCATTGCTGGAGCTTCAAAGCTGTTGGCCAACATTCTGTATTCTTACCGAGGAATGGGTTTATCTGTTGGGACTATGATTGCTGGCTGGGATGAACAGGTATAATAAAATGAAATTTAACAACTTAAAATCCCTTTCCTACTCGAATCTTTTTTCCCATGTACTTTTGCAATTCGGTGTAGGGCCCGGGTCTCTACTATGTGGACAGTGAAGGTGGAAGACTTAAAGGCACCAGATTCTCGGTTGGCTCTGGTTCACCATATGCTTATGGTGTTTTGGACAGTGGGTAAGTATCAGTTTTGTACTCTGATATTCATATGGTTTGTGGTGATTAACTTCTTTTTTTTTTTCTGTTTGTAGATACCGTTTTGACATGTCGGTTGAGGAAGCTGCTGAGCTGGCAAGACGATCAATCTATCATGCCACTTTTCGTGATGGTGCTAGTGGTGGTGTTGCCAGCGGTAAATAATGCTCCTCCCCTTTATCCTATTTTTTTTTCTTGGATTTTTTTTTTTAAATTACTGTTCTTTATTTTCGTGACACATTTTTTTTTTTGACAGTTTATCACGTTGGGCCGGACGGGTGGAAGAAGCTGTCCGGAGATGATGTTGGGGAGCTACATTACCATTACTATCCTGTTGAGTCAGCGTCTGTGGAGCATGAGATGATTGATTGAGGTTGATTTCACGTGATTGAGGGAGCCCGTGATTAAGATGGGTTGTGTTATTTGCGTTTGCTTCAGATTGTACGTGGGTACGATTTAATCTGCCTTAATTCCTAATCTGTTTGTAATTTTTTCAGTTTCGTATGAAACAACTTGCTTTTCATCATCAGCTCGAAAAAACTTCTTTCGATCCATGGTTTTCATCTTGGAAAGAAAAAAAAATGGGAAAAACTGAGGAATTTTGGTAAGTGGTTAATAAGATATTCTGAAAACAGTTTTAGAATTCGTGTTTTTTATGAATATAGGATTGAGGATGACGGCAAATTCGACCCTACATCGAGTTTTTTGTTCTTTGATACATATGAATATGTGTTGATCTAATGGTAAAAAAGGCGGGTCGATTTTGCCTAGAATAGGTACAAAAAACATGTGTGGCTGGACAAGATTCATAATTTTGTCCAAAAAAATTGCCATTTTTTGAATGAACTGCCTCTAGCTGTGAAGGGGCTGACACAAGTTTTTTGGGTAAACATTATATTGATGGTTAAGCTTTCAATTTTTATTTCTTATAAGAAGGATAAAATTCTCAGTCGTTGAATATGAACTAAACAAGTAAATATAACTTCTTTGGAAGTAAAGGTATGATGAGGGGTTTCAAATACTCTTTACTTATAAAATTTGATGTGACTCATAAATATTGTTGTAAGACAAACAAATAGTTAAACAGATTGGTTCGTTATATACCTTGCATCAATATGCATATTTGTATTCAGAAGTGTTAATTATTTTTCAAAATATAACTTTTTTTTTCTTTGCAAAATATGACATTTTAAAAAAAATTGCAAATATTTTAAGAAAATATGATCCAAAATGCCAAACTCTTAAGTACCACCAAGTCACGTGTTGTTTCTGGATGAAACGTGAAATAGTCAAGATCTTATATGCATCAAATTATTGAGCATATTTCCCTCAGTTTATTGATGACAAAAATTAATAAAAAACAAGTGAAAACTATATAAGATTTTACTACATTGCAATTTTTCCAAGGCTAATTATATGCCCTAATAATCCGGCACGAGCGTTTGAGCAATTGTCCTAAT